AGGCATTCCTAAAGCAGTTGATTTTGGTTTGCCCATTGTAAGCACTGCGGAATTTATGAAGCAGGTATGTGAAGTGCATGTTGAGACTTCCTGGCTTGACATGTGATGAATTAAAAGTAGCAAAATTTTAATACTCCCATATACTTCCAAAGATGTTTTCTTCCACCAAAGCTAGCTCTGGTACATACTGAAAAATGTTGCAGATGTGTTAATAGTTGTTTTGAGATTTCTGTTATTTCAGTGTTAATCCACTTGGTTACTCTTTACAGTAAATAAGGTAAATAAAAAAAATAGTCTCAGCCATTCACAACATGGTGACCCAGCAAGGTTAGGTCTAATGAGATAGTCTCCATTAGCGGGGTTATTTTTTTAGATTTGTTTCTAGTTCAAAACAGTTACTAAAATCTGATAACTTGATAACTCATTAAATAGTTTGCAAACTTTTGTGTAATTGTAACATGTTTGCCATTGTGAAATATACTGCTTTGAAATTGGGTCCATTATTTTAAAACAACCTGTATTTTGCATAGGTTTGAAGCAGAGATTCACCTTTCTATTTAGCAAGAAGACCAGGGAGGATGAAATCAGTAAGGGACACCACTGATCTCACCCATTTAACAGCCTGGCTTTCTTGGAAGCTTGTTTCCATCAGTAGCTTTCCTCTAAATCCAGGTTCCAAACTCTTGTCTGCAAAGAATAAACAAATTTTGATCTCTTGACTAGGTAGAGAAGCAGGTAGCAAAGGATGAATAGTGGCAGGAAGGGTGGATTAGAAAGAGGGGATGCTGTGGCATTTTAAGTTATCCCGTGCTAATCACACACTTCAAACCTAGGTTTTAAAAGTGGAATTCACAGTCACAAGTATAAAGATGCAAGGTATTACCTTTTTCCTTGCTGGTGCAAACAAGATATAAATGCAAATCACCAGAGGCAAACTCGAATAATGTCTCCTTTTTCTTTAGATATGGCTTCCTTTCTATGATCATGTTTGCTCAAGGACAATGTTTAACTATGCTCTTTTTTCTCAATATAGGTCATATTTCTTTCCTGAAAAAGCTCAAGACAGCTAGAAATGATTTACTACATTTTCAAACCAGAAAATGGTTTACAGAATTACGCGAAAGATTAATACACACACGTTATATTTTGAAAATAACAGTATAGAAAAAAAACTTATCTCAAATTTATTCTGTGTAATTCTAAAAGCTGCAGAATTTTAAAAAAACTATGCTACAGCAATTTAACAAGATTCTCAGCTCCAATTTGAAGATATTGGCAGATCCTAGCAACAGCTGACTGAAAATACTTCTTTAAAAAAAAAAAACAAGCCAACAGAAATAGTAGACTCCTTAAGTACTTTAGAGACTAAGACATGGAGCAATTATTTAAACTACAAGAAAAGAGATTTTACCTAAATTTTAGGAAAAAAATTCCTGGCAGTAAGAGATGTTTGACAGAAGAATACACTTTCTCAGAATATGGTGGAATCTTCTTTGGAGGTTTTTAAACAGAGACTGGTTGGGCATCTTTTGGGAGTAGTTTGATTGTGTATTTCTAATTGGCAGAGGTTGGACTACATGGACATTGTAGACTCTTCCAATTCTATAGTCAGCTACATTTCTTACTAATTTGTTTCGAAGCAGGCACTGATTTATTCTTCAATAGCTCAACATTTCAGGATAAGTACTTCATGAATAAAATCTCTTCAAAATGAAAATGCTACAAAACTGTCATTTTTCTGGGGTACTCCTTCAGATGGATGTACTGCAGATAGACATCAGACAGTTTGGGTCACGCTATTCCAAATCTCAAAGGGTCACCCAAGATATATAACTGGAATACAGGTTGTCCAAATCTTTACAATTTCATTTGGATACAGAATTAAAACTGTAAAGATAATTTTGGACATTTTATATGCTTCTGCTGCTTGAAGGCTTCCTCCAAATTTAAGGACTACATAAATGTTTCTAGTCTAATTCAACGGCAAGTCTCAGTGAGAACAGACCCAATGAACAGTTAGCCCATCATTCAGCAACTAATAAAGTGGCTGTACTCTAGCTAGGAATAGCAACTTTAGATTTAGACCTTTTTAAAAAAGTAAACTGCCTTGATTATTTTTAGATAAGGAGGAATCAAAATAGTAGAGAATCAAATAATTAACTGTGCTATTGAATTATCTTTTTAAATAGAACGTTTAACCTATTTTTTTATCTGTAATTAGTCAAAAATGTTTAAATTTTTGAATGCCCAAACTTCCACTGTAATGAATTAGTAGCTATGAGTTAGAAATACACCTATGCTATATCCACTCATCTAAGAGAGGATGTCCATCAGTAGAGGTATTCAAGATTTCTCCAACCAATACCTCTGTAATGCCAAAACTAAAGCTTCATGGTATAATGCTGGAAAATGTTAACCATTGCTATTACCTCGACAGCCCCTCTGCACAAAAGTTGACATTGACACCAAAATACACCACCATCTGAGCTCTGCGAGCATAGCATTTTTTTTAATGAAGAGGATTGGGTGTTCATGGAAATACCACAATATTTGTTTATAAATCGATTGTCCTCCTAACCCTCTTACACGCTTGCAAAACATGGACGATCTACAAACACCACTCTTGACTTCTGAAATAATTCCATCAGTGTCACCTCTAAAGAGTACTGCAAATCTCTTGGGAAGACAGTCAAACAAATGTTAGTATTCTGGAAGAAGCAGAGACCATTAGCACTGAAGCTAAGATTTTCTGCTATCAATTTCACTAGACTGGCCGCATTGTCCGAATGCCCAATCGCTGCCTTCCAAAGAAGTTACTGGGAAGTCCTGCCCCCCCCCCCCCCAGTGTTCTATCTGGAGATTGGTTGTTACCAACAGTGCTACAGATTTTGAAGATGCATGAATACAGAAGAAAAGGAAGAAATATGCCAAGAGGAAGGCGTGTCAGGCAAATTCTTGTTGGAACTGCCTTCAATCTAAAAATGAATGTGTTCAGTGCAAAAGACCATGCAAATCCAGAATAGGTCTCTATAGTCACTTATGGACCCACTGCCAAGACTCTACCCATGGAAGGCAATCATACTCAATCATGATATATGATGATGACTTAAGATCAAAGACACTGGACTATATTTTTAAGTCAAGGAAGCCCAAAGTGTTTTGATAGGTAAAAACAAAGCAAAAGTACACAGAACAGGATAGCATGCCGAACATGATACCACTATGCTATCACAGGACTTAACAGAAGCATGGATTGTGTGGTTTTAAATAATTGGTTTTAAGGTTTTATTATGTTTTAATTATTGTTTCAATGCTTATGTTTTTATTATGTGTTTTTTTGGCATCTAATTGTTGAGAAGGGTGGGGTGTAAAGTACAGTAAATAAAATAAATAAATAAATAAATAAATAAAATTTCTGTTGCTGTTCTGCAGGTGGCTGTAATGGACAAGACTGTTACAAAGTGAAATAAAACTATTTGCTTTGGTTAAAAACTACAAGCTTTCACTGGCTCATAAATTAGGTAAAAGAGGCATTTAAAAGGGTTATTGCAGTTATCTCAAAATGTAATTTAGATATGCAGCTAGATATTAAGCTGCATATCTAGAAATCCAAATGCCTATATAAGGACACTGGCCATGGCATTCAATTCTCAATTAAAACACCGTAATTTACAGTTCCATGTTTTGAACTGCTCGGTAAACTCCATTACAGGAGCACACACACACATACAGAATTTTTAAAACAATGACTGGGAATGTGAGAGGTGTACTTCCTTCACAATTTGTTAGCTCAACAAAAGCCGCTATTATTTGTACAACTGAACACATTTGTATGTTCTTGTTACATGCCAAAAATAAACTTGGCCTTGTAGTTGTTAAATTAGAGCCTACAGTTCTAATTTTCTGCAAGCTACTCCATGTGGTAGTTTACGTATGAAAGTGTCATAAAGTTGCTAAGAGCTGTTGTCCAACCGAAATCAACTTTACAAGTGACCTCAGAAAACAAAAACAATTTTGAGAGTCTTCAAAGGCCACTTGTGATATAATTCAGACCACTCACGAAGAATATGACTCATCTTCCGGGATATTTGCTTTTACTTGTTGCTGAAATACATCTGCTTTCAAACAGAGAAGTAAAAGACTGATCTTAACAAAATACAGTAGACTCTCAGTTATCCGGCATCCATGGGATTGGTAACTGCCAGATAAATGTAGTTTCTGGTTCCTTAAGATTTACTATTAAAATAGGCCTAATATTATGCCCCGTACCACACCATACATTGACTTGATATTAATATTGAAATAAATTAAAAATTAAGACAAACTTAATTTAATGTAACAGTTTTGCTATATTATAAAAACAGCTTTTAAAATTTTTAAGCATTATTTCTTCAATTTTTATGCCAATTGCTTGAGAGTGAGAGTCTACTGTACTTACTTATAATTATTAGGGCTGGGCGGTTTCGTTTCGTTAATTCGTAATTCGTTAATAATTCGTTAATTTTTTCAATTACAAAACGATAACGAACCATTCTGGAGCAATTATTAAAAAAACGAATTTTCAAAAACGTTTTGTAAATGCTTCGTATTTCGATATTGTGTTCGTTTCGTTATTGTTTTGAGGTCGTTTCGTTATTATTTCCGCATGTCTGGGCCAGTTTTATGGTTTAATTAGTGAAAAAAAATTATAATATCACACCAACAGTCAACAACAGAGGGAGAGGGAAGCTTCAGAAGGTTTTGGAGGTTTTTTTAGCGTATTTCGCGGTCGCGTCCGCCATTAACGAATCGATTCGTTATTGTTTCGGAAATCGATTCGTTAATTTTTTACCATTTACGAAATTTCGTAAATATCGAACATTTTAAAAGGAAAATTTTGTAATTATTTTAAATATCGAAACAAAAAACCCCCAAATACAAATCGATTTTAGAAACAAATTTTTCCGTTGTTACCCAGGCCTAATAATTATCAGTCAAGAAAATCAACTCAAATTTCTTACCATCGAAGAAACTTTTTGCTCTCAGGTAACTAACACTGAGCCTAAGCACAGACAGTTTATCCAGCTTGGCAATAACTTCCTGAGGAAATGGCAAAAGACAAGCCAGGCGATCCAGCTCAGCATTCAATCGGTCTCTGTGTCTCTTTGATGGATTAGACTTGATTCCTTCAGGAGGTGATGGTTTCACTCTGTCATAATAACAGAACATAGTGTTAGATCACTTTTTAAAATAATTAAGCCAAAATAATTAACCCAAAAATGGCACACTGTCAATACTCAATAAATAAGCCAATAGCAGCAATAAAATGATCAACTGCTGAAAGCTAACCCAATAGTAAAATTCAGAAAGAATATACACATATTGAAATGAAATTGAAAGACACTAACATAGATATCAAGCAATTCTCCGTGAGGCATCAATAAATGGAGAGTCACAACCAAGAAATGCCACTCAAGACAACTGAAATGGCAGGGCACGAGGAAACTGCTGGAAACATCAGAGGCCACAACACATTACAAATTGTCATTGGGCAACTGGATTCCTGTGAAGTTCTCGCATCTTACATCACAAGACAGATTTTTTTTTCATTCGTAATTGGATGACTAAATCCTCAGAACTACAAGAGAAGACTATGAAATAGATAACTGTAAATAACTGTGTTTAAACAGGAACACGCATAGCAGCGTTGCTACATGAGCTGGATTGCAGAACTAGTGGACTGAACTGTTCCTTGCTTACTGGGAAGTACACATGCCATGTGTCCTCTACAGATAGTCATTATTATTATTATTATTATTATTATTTATATTCCGTCATATCTCCACGAAGGGACTCAGGGCAGATTCCAATCACAAAAAAACCAAACATTCAGTGCCTGAACATAACAAGTAATAAACATAATAACGAAAATCTAACCTAACTCTTGTCTGTGCCCCCCTCCCCCCGCTCAGATACTCTAGGTTCAGATGAAACTTTATTAGCCTACCAAGAATGCCTTTTGGAAACAGCCATTTTTTTACATGCCTACATGAACTCACTTGGCAGAATCAAGCAAGTTTCCACAGAATTAATGGTATCATGAAGAAGGCCTGCTCAATTAGCAAATAAGCATTAAGCCAAGTGATTAAACCAAAAATGATGAAACTTGGTAACAATGTAAGTTGAGATAAAGATACAGAAGTCCTCTAATACCCTTTGTTGTAGGTATCTTTTTTGAATATTCCATATAACCTCCACCATCACTCCCTTTATTTTTCACTACATTTTAGATAAGGAAATCTAACAATAATGCAAATATAGATAAGGTCATATATGCAATTTGTTTATTATCAATAAACAATGAAAAATTTCCCTATTTTCTTGACATGCAGTTAATTATTAAAATTAAAAATTCCAAAAGCTATGTATTATGTATGTATATGTATAATTTGGCACTGAAAACCATCCTATCACAGCACATCTACTAACATCTCTACAAAATATTTTAATTCAAAGAAGTACTTTGATTAAAAGCAGTTGGATCTAACAAGCTTCATTTCAAACAATCATTCTCAGGTACATTAATTGACCTATCTTATACTAGAAATGCATTGAGTTTATCATTATGACCCTTTAAATAATATTTTTTGAGATATACTAAGATTTTTCATGTCAAATTTGCATAAAAGAAATGTGCCTTGTGATGGCTGTGAACACTTTTTCTACTATGAAATTATGTGTAAATCTAACAATTTTGATTTCCTTGCTGTCACGAAATACTTTAGGTGAGTCATAATAAATTTTTTTCCACATCACCTTTACATCTATTTTAATGGTGCTTCTTCCTCACCACTCTCTTTTTAAGTGAAGAATGCTAGTTCTGACAGAATCTGACTGTAAACTCCTTTTTGTGTTACTGGTAAGACCAAATTAAAAATATACAATCTTGGGTAAAATGCAATAAGTTATTGATATTCATCAAATACACAAGAACCTGAATGATTGATTGTTGTTGTTCATTCGTTCAGTCGTCTCCGACTCTTTGTGACTTCATGGACCAGTCCACGCCAGAGCTCCCTGTCGGCCGTCACCACCCCAGCTCCTTCAAGGTCAGTCCAGTCACTTCAAGGATGCCATCCATCCATCTTGTCCTTGGTCGGCCCCTCTTCCTTTTGCCTTCCACTTTCCCCAGCATAATTGTCTTCTCTAGGCTTTCCTGTCTCCTCATGATGTGGCCAAAGTACTTCAACTTTGTCTCTAGTATCCTTCCCTCCAATAAGCAGCCGGCCTTTATTTCCTGGAGGATGGACTGGTTGGATCTTCTCGCAGTCCAAGGCACTCTCAGCACTTTCCTCCAACACCACAGCTCAAAAGCATCGATCTTCCTTCGCTCAGCCTTCCCTAAGGTCCAGCTCTCACATCCGTAGGTGACTACAGAAAATACCATGGCTTTGACTAGGCGTATCTTTGTTGCCAGTCTGATGTCTCTACTCTTTATTATTTTATCGAGACTGGACATTGCTCTCCTCCCAAGAAGTAAGCGTCTTCTGATTTCCTGGCCACAGTCTGCATCTGCAGTAATCTTTGCACCTAGAAATACAAAGTCTGTCACGGCCTCCACGTTTTCTCCCTCTATTTCCCAGTTGTCAATCATTCTTGTTGCCATAATCTTGTTTTTTTTATGTTTAGCTGCAACCCAGCTTTTGCGCTTTCTTCTTTCACCTTGATTAGAAGGCTCCTCAGCTCCTCCTCGCTTTCGGCCATCAGAGTGGTGTCATCTGCATATCTGAGGTTGTTAATGTTTCTTCCAGCAATTTTTACCCAGCTTTGCATTCATCAAGCCCCGCACATCGCATGATGTGTTCTGCATACAAGTTAAAAAGGTTGGGTGAGAGTATGCAGCCTTGCCGTACGCCTTTCCCAATCTTGAACCAGTCTGTTGTTCCGTGGTCAGTTCTTAATGTTGCGACTTGGTCCTTGTACAGATTCCTCAGGAGGGAGACAAGGTGGCTTGGTATGCCCATCCCACCAAGAACTTGCCACAGTTTATTATGATCCACACAGTCAAAGGCTTTAGAATAGTCAATGAAGCAAAAATAGATGTTTTTCTGAAACTCCCTGCCTTTCTCCATTATCCAGCGGATATTGGCAATCTGGTCTCTCGTTCCTCTGCCTTTTCTTGATTATGAATGATTGATTATGAAAAACTAAAACTGGGTACCCAAAGCTTGTAGGCAAGAAAACACAAATGATAGGAACAAAATCTCTTATCATAGAGAAAACTTCACAAGAAATGGCCAAAGCAGAGAAAACCTGACACTAACTCTAGAAACCACATTCTTAATGATGAGCTGGAACAGTACCATTAATTCTAGTCACATCAGATTTTTCAGTTTTCCCAAACATATAATTAAGGTTTGAGAATTAAATTTTAACTTTTCTATATTACTAAAACAGATTTTCTTTACATTATTCCAAGTGGATATGCTACTGAATCAGAGGAAAGGTGTCACTGAAACATATTCATGCCATACAACTTCAACAATAATTTAGTAATCTTTATTGTAAGGTTTGACTTTCCTTCTCCTCATAACCTTCAGTCAAAATGGATACCACGATGCAAAATAATGTGCAGGCTGTTTCCATAACTCTATTTTAAATTTTCAAGATCTAAAGCTAGCTATTCCTCTGACAACACAGGTAAGTAAGATGTAGGTTTTGTCTGAAAGCCTTCACCAAATTTCCAGAGAAAAGAAAAATCAGAATGAAGGCCATCACTGTGAATCCCAAATTCCTCAGGACTAAAAAGGGATTATATATCCTTTATCTATTCAGCTGTCCATTGCACTGAATCTCTTGGGCTATCACATTTTTAAAATAAATAAATAATATTTCTCCTGCTTAAATTATGCTTAATATATATCATTCCCACATAGCTGAGAAATTTTATCTAGCAACTGCAAAAACAGTACACAACAGTATAATTTGCCACAGCATTCTCAACTGAATACATAGAGATCTAAGCTGTGTTCTATAGAGAATTTTGGAACAGGAGCAGGAAGTATATAATTTGGGAAGTAGCAAAAAAAATAAAAAATAGGCCAACTGTAATACCATCTACCTTCCATTTAGGAAGACCGCAGTCTGCATCACATATAAGCAGACTCTGTTTATCTAATAAGAATTATCCCATTCTTTCTAATATTTCTTGAAGAGCTTGTTCCAACATACAATATTGTATTTTGTCACTTAAGAGGGTAGAAGAAGTCTTATAATCTTCTTAGATGACACAAGGACCTAGGGAAGCACAGAACACCTGGTTAACCATCTAAACCTACAACAGATCCTGGGTTCTTTTTCTGGTTCATTAAGAGAACAACCAGAGAAGAGAAGGTGTCTATGTTATCACAAAAAGATAAAAAAAGTATGGAGCAAAGTACTGTAATTTGTTCAGTTGCTCCTGCTACAAGTAGGAAAGAGCACCGGTATGCTCTTCATAACTAAAATGGCAGGATCTCCATGGATCCCTATCCATGCCATTCTAAACAGTCTATTCAGTGTTTACGTGTGACAGAGCCTATTATGCACAGGTTAAGAAAAGTATTCTAAAATTAAATTAGTGCATATTTGTTTACATATTAATAAAATTGTATTATATTCACACTGCTACTGTTCATGTGACTTTCAAAGAAATGAAACTGCATTTCTTTTCTTTCTTTCTTTAAATCTACCACTACCATAATATGGCTATGAAAGATGCTGTTGATATCAGGTTTCAAAAGACATCAGTTAATTTAGTGTCCAAGTCCAATGAATTAACAATGGTTGACACACTGTCACATTAATGTACTGGTTTGGCAAGAATAACTTTTAGTTCTTTTTCTATCACTGTTGAATTATGTCTTAAAATAATTAATGAGTGCAATCCAGAATACCTTTATTTACACATACACTGAAGTGAAGAAGGACTCATATAACACTTCCCTTTGCTAAGAATTCATGAGTATTGAAAATGACAATCTGGGAAATGCAAAAACATGTTAGAACAGGAATTTCCATAACCATGTTGCAACCAAGTTCATTAAAACATGGAAAGGAAGGAAAAATGACAACAATCTTCCTGGCCTTCAGAGTCTAATACATAACCCAGTTCAATGTGACATTAAACCCATTCTCAGTTAGAGGTAGGATATGTAGCCAATGAATCTT